AAATCTTTAAAAACTAAACTTTTAAATAAAAAAATTTCAAAAAAATTTATGCAATAGTTTTTGAGAAAAAAAATTTTTTAAATTTTTTCAAATTTCTTATTTAATGGATATAATATGTAAAAAAAAAAAAAAAAAATTAAAATTTTTTAAATATTTAATTACATATTTTTTTATTATTAATTTATATTCTATTAATTTATAGATATCTACTTAGTTAATTATATTTTTTTTAATATTTTGTAGTCCCTCCTTTAGTCGCAATACAAGTTGTAATACGATGTGATATACTCTTAATCAATTGTTTGCAGTATGTTGGATCAATCTCGTTCCAACATTTTAAAACACAATTCTCGAGCTCTATTAAATTATTAGGTTTGGTCTCACGAACCTGAACTTTAATATAATGCCAGAGGTTTTTGATCAAGTTAATATCTGGACTTCGAGAAGGTCAGTTCATAATCCAAATATTTTTATTAGCAAGAAACTTCTTCGTAATTTTTGCAACGTGTGGCCTTGCATTATCATGTTGAAACCAAGGATAGCCACTATGATTCCAATTGATTCTATCGAAATTTTGAAAGGTTGACAAAAGATGATTTTGGAGAGTTGTGATATATGACTTCACTATAAGAAAAAAAAAGTAAATCAAAAATTTTTTTTTATTTAATAAACATTTTATTTTACCTTTAACCAAGGTGTAAAGAGAAATAAAAGGACCAACACCGAACCATGAAAAACATCCCAATACATATGACTTGGGCTATGGTTAATGGTGGCAGAAAGGCATTCAGAATTTCACTCTTTGCATGGACTATGCCAAACATGACATTTACTCCTTTGCTAGAATTAAGTAAACGTAGACTTGTTGCTCCAGACTACTTTTTTGAAGTCCAAAACAGTTCAATCTTTATATGCAAGGCATCAGGTAAGTCAGTCTTCAATATTTTTTTTCGAAAGAAAGGGCTTGGGCAGATAATACAACTTCTTAACTGTTCTTTATGCAGTGTTTGACAAATGGTTTTTTCAGATACTTGAATTTCTATTTTGGCTATAAAAAGATTGGTTAGTTTTGTGGCAGTAACATATGAATTGCACAACAAAGTTCCAACATTAAGCCAATTAATATGAGTAACAAGTTTTTTTAGGATAGTACAAGTATGCTTATTGAGAAGTCATAATTATTTCGATCATTGTATTTACGATTCTATGGATCTAGTTTCAATAAAATGTTTTATAATGTTACCCACTACACTTTTTTTGTATCTGACATTGGCTGCGATATTACGATAGGTATTTTTTTTTTGTAACCATAAATAATGGCCACTTTTTGTTCAGAAGTTAATTTTTTATTAGCAGGAATTAGCAGTTACACGAAAATTGAAGTGAAATTTTTTTAAGTAAATAAAAAAAATTTTTTTTTTATATAATAATATATTTTTAAAAATTGAATATGTTATATATATGTATCAAGTATATTTTTTATTAATAAAGTTTAATTAGTTTTTAAATTAAATTTTATTTAAAAAAAAAAAAAAAGTTGTCCATAAACTTTTGTCCATCCTCTGTATATAGTAAATAATTGAAATTTTTTTTTATAATAATATTAACATATAGATAGTTATAATTATAAAAATAACTTGCAAGTTTTTGATTTTATTATTAAATTTAAACTTAATTTTTTTTTATTAAAAAAGTAATATATTATTTTTATAAATTATATTGGAGGTTTTAATTATTAATAAATAAGTTAGATTAAAAATATTTATATATTATATACAGTATTAAAAAAGATTGAATTGTTCAAAAATAGAAGACTATTATTATATGAAGGGATGAAAGTAGATTTATAATATTCAAAAATAATGGTCTTAGTCATGTTTGAAGAACTTCTGATACAAGATATAATATTGAAATATGGTTCCAACTATAGTTCTGAAAATTGGAATCGAATAGAATCACAGAAAATCATATGAGGTTCAGAACACTATTAAAAATAATGGTGAAATATATTTCACCTATTAAATTTAATATAAACTTGAGAATCATTAGGATCTTTAGTTCCAATTATACATGTTTCCTTATTACTATAAAAGGAAATTTAATTGACAATATGATTTTAAATTAAATATGATTTCCAATTACTTACTAATTATTACTTAGTAATACGAACATAATACAGTTTTTGAAAAATGTCTAAATTAATTATGAACACATGTATAGTTTTAACAATAAAATTTGATAGTAAAGAAATAATAGTATGATGATATTTTTTAGATAAAAGATTAGGTCCATTAGTAAAAGTAAGTGATAAATTAAATAGATTGGATTATATTAAAATACTTGAAAAGTATTTATTACCTTTAATTAATAGGGCTCCTAATAATACTACTTTGATATCAATTTGATATCAATTCGATACTTAAATTTACTATAAAATTATATGAGTAGATCACAACCCATATATTAAATTTACTATAGATTGGTATCAGTTTAATATCAGTTTGGTACTTTTCGAAGTCCTATTAATTAATAATAATTTTAATTATAAAGGATATTTGTTTTAAAATGATAATGCTTCAATTCATATTGTTAAAGATGTTCAACAATGGATTTTAGAAAATAAAATTAAAATTTTACCTGATTGACCAAGTTAATCTTCTGATTTAAATCTAATTGAACATTAGTAATCTAAATTGGAAAGAAAAATAAGAAATAGATTAGAAAATATAAAAAATCTTAAAAAATTAAAAATTGCATTACAAGAAAAATGAAGTAAAATTTCAAAAAATCAATTAATAAATTATATAGAAAGTATACTATGAAGAATAGAAGCAGTTATTAGAAATAATGGATAACCAATAAAATATAACATATTAAAATTTTAAATAGAATTATTATGTAAAATTTTGTGTAATTAATAAATAAATAATATGTGATACTTTTGTTCAAGCAGTATATATAATTAATAAAAATTTTATATAACAATTTATAATCAAAATTTATATATTTATGTCAAATTAATTATTTTTTTTTCAATAATTGACAAGTAAATATTATATTGAATAAATTATTTCAACCAACATTTTTTTGAATATTTTTATTCTTGAAATCATAAAAATTTAAAAAATTATATATTAAGTATTTTATATACTTGAAATTAAGCTTGACCTTATATTTAAAGAAATAAAAATAGTAAGACACTTAGAAAAGATGTATTAAAAAGGTTTTGCCATAATAATATTTTTTTTATAACATTATTAATTTAAAATCTAATATGCAAAAAAAATTTTTATGAATTCATTAATTGTAACTTTTCATATACTATATTCTAAAACTAGTTTCTGACCAAAATTGTTTTATATTCTATCGACGATCGGCTCAAGCAAAAAAAATAATATACCAATCATATTACGTGTTCTGAATTTTTCGCCAGAGGTTATGTAGGTATTAAAATTGATCGAAGTTTTTTTTTTGACATTACACGTGTAAATTCTTAATTGGATTTATTGTTTCATCAGTTGATTTAACAATTATCCTCGGAATTAGAAAAATGGAAAATAATGTGGCGGTGCAATGAATGCTTGTTCATAAATACTTTGCCGAATGAATCAAAGCTACATTCTTTTAGCTTGATGATACATTATAATTTACGTTAACTAACGTTTCGTTTCCTTCAGTTGCCAACAATGATTGCGTTTATTTGCCGTCTATTCCATATATTTTTCTTGGTTATGTGTGGACTTACACGTGAGTACCAGTAATCAAAAATCAAACCCCTTTTTTTCCATTTTAATTTTAATTTTTTTTTTGAAATCTGATCAAGCAGATATTTGGTTATTCAATATACTGGATGAACTAGAAAAGAGCATTCATATTCAAAATAAATTTAAGACAAATGATGACAGTTCGATTTTGTATGTACGATCAATTTGCAAGATTTTCATTACTGTAATACCGCAAATATCACTTTTCATATCACTCCTCTTAGATACCTTATGCTAATTACAACGGCGATTTCGTTTTCACGTGAGTCGCGTTTTTCTCCTTCGGAATTTCACAAGTTCATTTTTTTAACTTTCAAATGTGCTTATACAATCCCGAAAGTTTGGACATTTATAAAGTATGGATGGAAAGTACGAAAAGAACACACACAAGAGCTTGGAGGTCATTATTTGTAAGCTATCCTCACAATATTTGAAATTATGACAAAATGCATCATTTCCTTACAAATTTTACTTATAGTATGTGCGCCTTGCTTTGGATATTTTACCATGGTAGGTAATTTTAATGAATCTATATACACTTACCTGTACTTCAAACATTTATATATTTTCTTTCTCAAAAGGAATCCTAACAATTCGAATGGCAATATTTAACGCCGAACCATTATCAAATCAATCCTGGCAATGCCATCCAATGCAATATCCATATAAGCGATCATTGAGCGCTTTTGAGAGTTCGGTTTTGACAAACCCAATTTCGATCACGCCGTCTAGTTCAATCAAGGTAATATGGAAAACATCGACGACAGGTCTTAATTCAGGGTTCTTCAATCTTGATTTTGTAATTTCGAGTTCTACTTCCGCACTTTCAACCTCCGCACCTTTATATACTATTTACAATACTCGATATGGTTCCAATTCCTCTGGCAATGTTACTAAGGTCCCTAATAAAACATTCCAAAAATTTATTACTACTACATCGCATTCGGCTTCAATCACAAGCTCAGACAATGTTTCCGCATCCACTATTGGTTTAATTCTTAATTCAACTTCCAAAATTACCATCCCTTCCTCTTCCAAAACTACTGTCCTTTCCGATGTTCCTTCTCCCCCTTCTAAAACCGTTGTTCCTTCTAAAACCATTTTAACTTCTTCTAAAACCGTTTCCCCTTCATTAGTTACCAGTCAAACTCACACTGCAACTTATAAAACCATCTCTCATTTCTCGGTTCTCTCTTCAGCTCAAAAAATATCAAACACAAAATCTACTCCAACAAAGTCTATCTCTACAATTCAAACACACACTCCAATAATAATATCTCACATATCCATCCAATTTAACCAAATATGTACATTGAGATTAATGGATATATTATTGGGATGGTTTAATCCTTTATTCTTCTTTCTGCTAAGCTGGATTGTAATATTGGATTTGGATGAGTATTGTATTGGAAGTTTTTATGGACTATATGATAGAGCTAGGAATATGAGGCGTGGGTACATGATGGTATAAATAGGAAAAGTACCTTTTTTTTTAATTGAATCACAAACGAGAGTTATAGAAGATTGGAAGCAAAGTGAGTAGTAACTGAGGAATCGACTAAAATACTGTAAAATAATTAATATTATTCTATAGAAAACATTATACTACGATACGTTTTAAATGGTTTTGAAGTTATGTTATTAAATTTAATTTATATACAAAAAAAAAAGGTTTATTTAATTACAAAAAATTTATTATGTTGAATAGATACAATGTTTTGCTAGTTTTAAAAAAAGAAACATACTGTATATTATACTTGAAAATATATACAGTCAAACCTGGATATAACGAAGCCTTTGGGTTAATTAGTAAAAATTGAAAAAAATTGTTTAAAAATTCAGTATAAAGAATTTTTAAAAATCTATATAATAAAATTCTCTTTTTATAATGAATTTTGAGTAAATTCAAAATTCAAAAATTCGTTATAACCAGCATTTTATTATAGCTTCGTTATAAACAGGTTCGTTATATCCAGGTTTGACTGTATACGGTATTTCAAAATAAAAATTAAGGAAAGTTGTCATATAACTTATATAATACAGGAGGAAAAAAAAATATTGAACGATTTTTTTTTTATATAAAGATTGAATATTTATATAATAATTCTAATAATTTGTATAATCTCCTTATAGCACTAACAGCTTGAACTCAATGTAACATTGATTTAATTAAATTTCTATTTTGATTATAAAGATAACATATCTTTTATCTAACATATTTAAAGCTTAAAATTTAAAATTGTACATATACAAATTTTTTAATCAAAAGATTTTAAACTTTTTTATATTTTAATATTTATAATAAAAAAATTTAATTGTTTTTTTAATTGATTTTTTATTAATAAATTAAATATATATATATATATATATACTGTATATACAGTATAATAGTAACCTGTAAATAAGAAAACTATCTAAGTGATAAGAAAAATAAATATTAAAATATTATACATATAAGATAATGCCAAGCAGCTATAAATATTTACTTAGGTTTATATATAAAAAAATTATAAGAAATGAAAAATTAAAAAAAAAAATACTAAACAAAAAAATAAATACAAAAAAACTAATTGTAAGCTATAAATGCTTTAAATAAAATCACTAGGCATTCCATACTGAAACCCAGCTGGTTTGAAAAGATTATCATACAACAATGGAATTCAAACATTCAACCTTCTGAATTAACAATTAACACATTCATAATACATGATCTAGCAAATCAAAAGAATATTCAGAAGCACAGATATATCTCAACAATAGTAAACCAAAGTATCTATATAGAGAAAGTGAACAAATGGACCAAAGTTATTAATAACATATTTAAAGCCTAACACTTCAAACAAATAGCAGATAACTCTTTAATTGAAAAATACAGAGGATGCAACTTAGATATAGAAGGAAGAACAAATGTATATATCAGGGAAATACAGCTGAGAAAAGCAATAATATTACCAGTAAACCACCTAGAAACAGTTCAAAACTATTCAATCAAATAATAGAAAATCTTCCAAGAATACAAATCTCACTTAACTTAATCAGACATATTCATGACTGAAGAAACTCAACACTAGAAAAGAGGAGTGAGATCTATATAAAAATAGATGAATTCAATAACAAACCAATATCAAGTACAGTGTAGTTAAATGTGTTGAAAATATAAGACTAAAGTTGACAAAAGTTAAAGCAAATTTAAGAAAGAATTTAAAAATGAAAATGTGTTGAAATATATATAAATGGATTCATGGAAAAATACAATAACAATCAAGTTAAAATGGGTATAGGAGATATAATTATAAATATAAAAACATTTGAAGAAGCAAAATTCAAAGGTGGATGTAAGAAATTTTCATTATAAACAAGAGCAGAACTAATAGCAATCCTGATTGCCATCACACTTATCAACCCCAACACAGAGGCAACAATAATAACTGGTAGTTAAAGTGCAATCCACACAATAAGATTAGAAATTCCACAGAAACAGAGAATAGCAAAAGAAACAAATATATTTACAACAACACTTATTTATGAAAAGATGGAAAAAAGAAAAGCAGCCATTGAATTTAAGAAAGTTAAAGCATATACAAAAGACAAAAACAATAATCGGGCAAATACACTAATGAAAGAAGGTAGAGAGCTTGATTATACACATATCATAAATATTAACTATCAACAAATAAGAGAAATCAGAGATACATTCCAATAGAAGAACAAAAATCTTAATATAGGTATTAATGAATTTATGAAGCAATGGCAAAATAGCAAATGGATTAGCAATTGGACTACACAAAAGAGATACAAAGCATGGCTCAAAGTATAAAAAGAGAAAACAATAAACTAAAAAAGAATATGGACAAGCCTTTCATCATCAAAAATCACAAGCTTTTATATCAATTAACAGAATTACAACAACAAAATATTTAGATACAAATTGCTTAATGATAAGTTGCCCATCAAAAGTAGACTAAATAAAAAAAGACCTGATCTATATAAAGACAAGATATGTCTATAGTACAAAAAAGAGAAACTACAGAACATGTCTTCAATAGACATTATAGAGACAAGGTCAGAACCAAATATATTCAAGTACTTAAAAAAGAAGTATCTAGTAGAATAAAGAAACAAGAGATAAGAAGAAATTGAAGAGAACAACTTATATACTGTATATTATAAATAACTTAGAAAAACCATTAAATATATAACTAAAGGTATCTATAAAAAATATTTAACCAACCTGGTAAAACAAATCAACAGAAGCAAGATCAAAAGCACATTAAAAGCAGTAACAAACCATATAACAAAAGAACTTTGCAAATTCTGGAATTACAGATACACCAAATTTCAACAATAGAAAGAAAAAAAAAACATAATCAGAAGAGAAAAAATGAAAAAAAGAAGAGGACAACAGGTTGATACCTAATCCAAGGACACAATGCAACATAAATCACTAGTGAAAAGATTAGAAGAAACAGGAAGATTATAGGATAAACTAATAGAGAACTGATTAAACCAAAAAAACAATATAGTTAAATTTTATTTTTATTATTTATATAATAACAATACTAACAGAGCTTTGGCACATTAGCCTTGACATATGCCAAAAGGTAAGTTAATAATAACAAGTTGATGTGAAGTAATTTAATATAGTACAACATGCATTTAGAATAGTTTATAGATAGTAAATCTTGTAACAAGAAATATAAATGTAAACTAAATAAAGTATATTGAGCAAGACTTCCCTAGTTAAAAAAAAAATTTATAAAAAACTAATAAACTACTTTAATTTATTGTTTAATTAAAAAAAAATCAAATAAAAATAAATATTTAATATTTTAAATAAAACTTTATAAATTTTTTTATTATAATATAATAGTATTAAAAATTTTATTAAATTAAACTTATAAATTTAAAAACAAAAAACAATAAAAATAATTAAATACAAATACATATAATCTATTAATAAAAAAATAAAAAGAATAAAAAATTACTAATTATAAAAAAATTGTTTATACAGTATGAAACAAAAAAACTTGTTTTTTTATTGTTTTTAAATTTTTTATTATATTTCAATAACTAAATAGTAAAACAAGATAAAATTTTATATTTATATATTTGAAAATATAAAAAATAAGTTTACTTAAAATAAATTTTAAATTTTGTTATAAATTTTATTATAAATTTTTAAAAAAAACTTTTTTTTTTTTAATAGATAAATATCATTTCTTTATTTGATTTTTATATTAAAAGTATATATTGTGAAAAAAACAATATCTTTTATTTGTAGGTACAGTGAGTTTAATATTAGCTTGCCTACAGAAACCAAATGACTAATATTGAAAATAAATTTTAAAACAATATATTTTATTAAGAGGTACCAAGTAGCTATATTTACCTATTTAGTATTGAAGAAAATAATATTGATATAGTTTTGAATTAGTTTAGTAATACATTTGAAGAAATTAAGATTGTTTTAAATATAGGTATCTGTAACTAAGGTAGATAAATTAACTGTTGTTATTAAATCTTGTACTGATGAAGATTTTTGTGAATTTTATTTGAGGATTGTTTAAATATTTTTGATTGTGTTGATAGAAGATTTGCCTTTCCATTTTATACCATTTTGTGGAGAGATGTTGACCATAGCGCATTGTGGTTTCCATATGATATTATATAGTTGTATTAAGGCTTTAGTTAATACTTGTGCCCAGTTATTAAAGTTCAATAAAGAAAAAATGTTGTCAGTAATGCCATATGTTAACTTTATGACCTGCCATATGTGGATTATCTGTTCTGAGTTTTCATTTGAGTGGAAAATAAGATTAGTTTGCTTGATAATTTGATTAGTTTCTTTTGAAGCTTTTGGATATTTAAATACATGTTATATATTTTAAATGTAAAATTCATATCGTGGACAGTAGGGATCTGAATATTGATTCAGATATTGTTAATGAAGGTTCTCTTGTATAGAAAGAGTTCCTGATAAGAGTTTGATATGAAAAGCAATTAGGTTGCTATATTTGTTGTTTCATGCATTTTTTAAGATTTTGTTAGATTTGTTGATTATTTTGATGCCTTGAGAATTGTGAATAGAGTTGAATGTTTTTATAATTGATAAGCTTTTTGATATTATATACAGTGGTACCCAAAATTATTTGGAATTTTTCTCAATATGTACAACTCAGTAAAAATTTATCTAAATCAAAT